GTCTGAGTATTTCTCTGAAAAAGAACTCTCTCTTACATCATCTTTAGACTCTTTAGCTGTGGGCCAGATGGTCTGGTGAGTGTTAAGAGCCCCTCTATCTTCCTGCATGTGTAAATCCCACCTTCTTCTGCAGAAGTGTGGGGTGGGAGTGAGGGGAGGGAAGCTGATACCTTCATGGTATCAGTACCAAAGTTCCCGAATTTCCTCTGTGGGATCAGAGATCTGGAGATTGTAAGGGGGGGGGGGCAAGAAAGGGAGGGACAGGGTCATGTGTGAGAGAGACAGAGTTAGCTCAGCATTAATTAAATTGTCAGTGGATCATAATTCAAGGTAGCCCTTTTGCCAGCTGTTGTCAGCAGCAACATGATCCATGTTGAAATACCTAGGGATTCCTCTTAAAATTAACATACCATTGGCTCAAGACCCCATCCACAGACCTAAGAAAACAACATTTTTCCTGGGCATTCTTAATAGGCAGTACTTCCTCACTCAGAAGTATCAAATCAGCATGTAAAACAAGAAAAAAAAATATTAAAGGACAAGGGGACATGGTATCACTTCCTCACTCAGAAGTATCAAATCGGCATGTAAAACAAGAAAAAAAATATTAAAGGACAAGGGGACATGGTATTAACTTAGGGAAATAAATCAGCAGTATATTTATGTGAACCATCTTATGTTCTTTTTCTTAGGTTCTTATACGTGAAACTCACACCAGTGGTAATTTTGGGAGTCAGCCTCTACCTCAGTTCCCCACCAACTAGTGTGGACATCTGATAGGTGAATGCCCCTTCAATGTGTCTCTTTCCACCATGCCCCTGAGTTACACCTTACACTATGGTTGGTGTCAGTGCTTAGTTCCAGAGTGCTCTTCAGCAGGCCTGTCTGCAGCCACTAGGCAAAGTGATGGTGGATCCAGTCCTGAGGTTCCACCACCTAGCCCTGCTGGTGAGTCTTCAGCTTGATTTGATGCTAGGTAGGGAGGGCCTCAGCAATATGTGCAGCTCCATGGCTGTCCCGTGACTTCAGCAAAAGCTACCTCCGTGCTGCATCTCAGTGTAAAGCATAATTCTATCTTAAGTTCTTCAGATCAGAGTCCCTTTCCTCTTCCTTTGTCTCCCAAATTCCACCACCCCACCACTTCCCATCACTCTGACACCCCATCTGATTTGTATCACACTTGGATGGAAAGCTTATGTAAATGCACTCTCTATAGCCATACGTTGCTCCTGTTTATGGGTAGATGGTAATACTGTGCTCCTTAGCCTAGGGTATGGACAGGGATCACACTTTATTTTAACATTACCTTCTAACTGGCCGTTTGCAATTCTAGGAAGGTTTGAGTGGTCTCATCTCCCTGTGACTTTAGTAGCAATAAGTCACTTTGCATTATTGCGCCCTTGAGGTCAGCAATAATAAAATATGAGAAAACAATGTCAGAGCATGAAAAAAGCCATCTGTCTGATCTGCTTCACCATGTCAGCCACAGTATTTACTGAGCTACCTAAACACACCCAAAGAACTCAGTAGTTCTGCAGTTACTGCCAATGAAGAGAATGCTGTGGGCGGGTAACTTCAGAAGTCATCATGACACAAGAAATATAAGATATCGCAATCACTGACCTCCAGAAGAGCGAATATATTTGTTTATATTCAGCACCATCATAATTTTGAGGAAAGTCAGAGGAGAATGTGTGACTGAGCATCTATAATGCAGGAACTCTCTAGTTGGCTTAATAAAACGCCTGACTACCCAAACTTGGGTCTGCGTCTAGACTGGCAAGTTTTTCCACAAAAGCAGCTGCTTTTTTTTGAAAAACTTGCCAGCTGTCTATACTGGCCACTTGAATTTCCACAAGAACACTGACTTCCTACTGTCTGAAATCAGTACTTCTTGCGGAAATACTATGCTGCTCCCTTTTGGGCAAAAGTCCTTTTGCGCAAAACTTTTGTGCAAAAGGGCCAGTGCAGACAACTCAGATTTGTTTTGCACAAAAGCACATCTAGATTGGCACGGACGCTTTTCTGCAAAAAATGCTTTTGTGGAAAAACGTCCGTGCCAATCTAGACGCTCTTTTCCGCAAATGCTTTTAACAGAAAATTTTTCCGTTAAAAGCATTTGCAGAAAATCATGCCAGTCTAGACATAGCCAGGGAGTCTGCACATGGTCAAGATGTATTGGTGACTCATGGGGATAAATTTTAGACAGTAGCTCCCCCTTTTATAAGCTTAAAGATTGTGTTGTAAAGGCTCTTTGTTTGAACAAAAAACATCCCATGATAATGAGGGATAATAATGATAGTAGATTAGAAAGCAGAGAATGAGATGATTTATGCAGTGGGATGATTACTTTATTCATTTTAGCTGTATTTCTGTTATTGTTTTCCCTTCTTCATTAAGCAATATGCGTAAACTGTCCTTGGACTTCCTTTTGCTTCTAATATATTTGTAGAATGTTTTCTTGTTATCCTTTATGTCTCAATCTAGACTGAGTTTGTTTTGTGCTTTCGTCTTCCCAATTTTGCCCCTATATACTTGTGTTATTTGTTTATATTCATCCTTTAGCCTAGTTTCTACTTTTTATAGGACTCCTTTCTGCTTTTAGATCATTCAGTATCTCCTGGTTAAGCCTGGATGGTCTCTTGCCATACTTCCTATCTTTTCTGTGCAGTGGAATAGTGTGCTCTTGCACCCTTAATAAGAAAAACTTAAAAAACAACGAATTGTTAAGCTTTTCTAGTTACAGACTAACTTGGCCACCCCTCTGAAACCCTTAATATGGTTCCTTTGAAAAACTTCTAACTGTCTCCAATTGGTTTTCCTCTTGCTTCCTATGGTACCTTACCTACCAGCCCCCTGAGTTTACTCTAGTGTGCCTTCTTGAAATCATTTTATGTATTTTGCTGTTCTCTCTTCTACCATTGCTTAGAATGATGATTACTTTCACCCAAGCTGCCTTCCACTTCCAAATTCTCATCCTCCCTCTTCACTAAAATTAAATCTAGAGCACCCTCTCCCCCTCCCCCAGTAGTTCTCCATCTTCTGAAATTAAAAAAGTCATTACATTCCAAAAGCTATTTGGAAAATCTGTGCCCTCCTGTGTTATTTTCCCAACAGATGTTTGGATAGTTGAAGTCCTGTGCTTTGGATGATTTTGTTAGTTGTTTAAAAAAAGGTTCATCCACCTTTTCTTCCTAAATAGGAAGTTTGTAATAGACCCCTAACATGACATCACTCCTGTTTTTTTACCCCTTTTAACTTTACCCAGAGACTCTCAACAAATCTGTCTGTATGTCCATCTCAACCCAGTTCAAGTATAAATATAAGGCAACACCTTCTCCTTGCCTCTGAGTAAGACAGAAGTGCTCTCCTACTGGTGTTTGTATGTTACCATTTTTTATGTCTGATTTGTGTCCACTTATTATTTTGTGTAGAGACTATCTGTTTTGGACAATGTACATGGCAGAGAGGCACTGCTGTCACAGGATGGCATATATCACATTAGTAGATATGTGGGTGAATAAGTCCCTGATGGCATGGCTGATGTGATTAGGCCCTATGATTGTGTCACTTGAGTAGATATTTGGGCTGAGTTGTCAATGGGGTTTATTGTGGGGAATGAGTCCTGGTGTTTCTGTGGTTTGGTGTATAGTTACTGGGTTAGTGTCTCTGATGTGGTGTGTAATTGCTTGCACTACCACTGACTTACATTACCACTCCCAACCTTAACTTCCTCCCCTAAAATTTGCAAAACTATATTCAAAGTAACACATTACCAAGAGAGCTACATAATTCCATTTCCTATGTGAGCAGACTACAGCATTCCTAGCTGTATGGCGAGGGGCATGCCCCCTCAACAGTCCCAATGTTAGGTTATTGTCCCCTTTTCCTGGGCAAATACGTCCCAAAGGCCTAGTTAAAAGGCACAAGTCCCTCTATCAGGGTATGTATGGCTCAATAGCCTGATTCAAAATACAGTTCCCCCTATCACGGTATGTACGGCCAGAGGCCAAGTCACAAACACAGCCCTTTCTATCAGTGTATATGCAGCCCAGAGGCCTAGTCCACACACAGTTCCCTCTATCAGGGTATGTATGGCCCTAAGGCCTAATTCATAGGTAAGCCTCTCAACTGCTAGGGAGCAGGAGTTTTCGGGGGGAGAGGAAGAGGAGAGGTAGGGGGACCCAGGCCCTCCCACTCCACCGGGTCCCAGACCAGGGCCCTGTTGGCAGTGGAGGATTTCGCTGCCTGCTCAGCAGGGCTTCTGGCTGAAATACGCTGAGCTCCCAGAGAACAATCCTCCACCCTCATTCCCAGTGCTCTGCTCAGCTCTTGCAGTGTCACTTGGTGGGACTGGCCCTCCTGGATGGCTTCTCTGGCTGGGGCTGCTGAGGTTGCTTCTGCAGAAGCTGTTGCTTCTGGGGAGGCTGCAGCTGGGGCTGCTTGGACCCGAGCTTCTTCCCTTCTGGCAGTCAGCGCAGACTGAATGGCTCCATGAGCTTTTATATCTGGTCTCCCTTGCGAGCATGCCCAGCAGGGATGTGGGGGCGGAACCCTCTCAGTTAGCTGGGCCAGGGCAACTCCCTGCTGTACCCTCTCAGCTAGCTGGGCCAGGGCAACTCCCTGCTGTTGGTAGGTACACCCCGTCACACTGTAAAAAAGCTTGACATAGGAGTTGCTGCATAATGTTGTTTAAAAATTGTAACCATTACGTGCACTTATTATTCCTGCAACATCATAGAATTAATGGATGTCATCACACCAAACAGATAAATTGTTACATTTCATGTCCTACTTCTGGATTCAAAATTGGTTTTTTTATTGTACTGTATTTTTCCTTCTAATTTTTTGTGCACTTACATTTTGAAAGCCGGTATTAATTCTTTGTCATAACTGATTGAGACCTGAGTAATGAACAAATTGTATTGCACCTTCAGCCATGTTGTAAAT